TTTGCTGTTGTGTTGTTATCCTACCTGAATTTTTAATATGCTTTTAAATTAAAAATAAAGTCCCCAGCTTGGTACAGTGACTTACACCTATAATCCTAGTGACTCCGGAAGCTTATGCAGGATTGCTTGATGCCAGGAGTTTATGAACCTATGAATTATATTGAAGAATAAAAAAGAGGCCAGGAGTTTAAGACCAACCTGGACTCCGTCTCTACAAAAAAAAAAAATTTTGCTGGGAATGGTCCTGGCTAATAGTCCTGGCTTCAAGAGGTTAAGGTGGGAGAATCCCTTGAGCCCAGAAGCTCAAGGCTGCAGACAGATGTGATCACGCCACTGTACTCCAGCCTGGGTGACAGAGCAAGACCCTGTCTCTTAAAAAAAAAAAAAGTCCCCATTTCCAAATGTGAGGGCAGAGTTCAGGAATCACTGGTAGATAAGCTTGGCCCCAGCTTCCATGAAAATCTGTTTTGTCCCACAGGAAATGTTCAGGAAACACTTTTTTTTTTTTGAGTCGGAGTCTTACTCTGTCACTCATGCTGGAGTCCAGTGCATGATCCCTCCTCACTGCAAACTCCTGGACTCAGGTGATTCTTCTACCTCAGCCTCCAGAAGCTAGGACCACAGATGTACACCACCATGGCTGGCTAATTTTTTGATTTTTTGTAGAGATGAGGTCTCGCTATGTTGCCCAGACTGGTCTCGAACACAGGAGGCTCAAGCAATCCTCCTGCCTCGGCCTCCCAAAGTGCTGTGATTACAGGTGTGAGTCACTGCGCCTGGCCAGGAAGCCCTTCTTAAAATGGTTCTAATTAAGCACTTAGGGTCAAGTGGGGGCAAGTGTTCACTGGAAGCCTGTTCATAAGGACAAGTCATGTCTGATAGGGCTTACATGGGGGAAGGGGTAAAGGGGACCGTTGTTAAAATAACTCACTGTGTGAACCTCACAAACGGGATGTAGGGTTGAAGGTGACCACTCTGCCCTAATAGCATCCTGTCACTAACATCTGCTTTCTCAAGGTGGCATCCTAAGGTTGGGTGATTAACGGCATCTTGTTACTGACTGTCTTACGGCCAACACCTGCTTTCTCAAGAATTGCATCTCAAGGACGTATCACCATCACCCCCAAACTGCTTCTTGGAGGCAACGTGATCACCAGCTCCTGCTTCTTTGGGACTATGCATGCTACATGACCACCAGACCCCAGCTAGGGTATAAAAGAGACCCACAAAAGAACAAAGGTGCTGGTTCTTCTTTAGGGCCAGCGTTTCTTTTCTTTCCCTCTAATAAATTTTCTTTAATCACCCGGCTCGTCCTCTCTTTCTCCACACTCGCCTTACAATGTCAGACTAGTATTAGTTTTGTTCTGTATTTAACAGAGTCAATAGCAAGGCAGGCACAGAAAACGCATTTGGCAACCTCCTGCAATTGCCATGGAAAAGTGCTAGAAAGGAGAGCAGATGCTGGTCCAAGCCAGAATGGAGGAGCCAGGCCCGGCAGGAGCAACAGGCAAGCAGCTCTGGGAGGCCATACACAGAGAGCTTATTTTTATTTTTTATTTTTGAGTTGGAGTCTCACTCTGTCACCCAGACTGGAGTGCAG